CATTCACAATTTTCTGAATCTTTTCTCTTAGCATAACCTCATTATTCCTGGATGCTTCTTCATATTAAACATATTGTAAATATTCAAAAGTATGCTATGTTTAAAAAGTGAATTGATTTTTTTAAGTTATGTAACTGACTTTAAACAAATACAAATCTTAGCTAATGAAGGAAACAGTGTAAAATTATTCTAATTATTCTAAAACTATTGGACTATCTGTTCTATTTGCAATATAAGATTTCAGCAAACAGCAAACTGTCCACATTGTTAGTTATCCTTTTTTTTGAGGTACTTTCCAGTTTTGACCAAAGAGTTTTATGAAAAAAGCAGGCTATATCAGAGAAGTTAGCATTCTAGCATATTAGTAAAATTTTCAAGATACTTTAAAAGGCTGCTAATAAGAGTCAGGTTTTCCTGTAAGCCAAATGTTAAAGCTATATATAGGCACCAGTGCACTCAAAGCCCTTAATATGCTGATATTTTGTATAATAAAATAATAAAAATAAAAAACAATCATTTGCAAGCATGCATTATATCGTGTAAAAATGTGATCTCACAAGTTTCAATGCTGTGGAATGTACTATACACAATTAATACATAAAATGCCATGCATTTAGACATTATTTTCCAGATTGACTTTAAAAATGATAACACTAGTAATCAATCATACCATTATGCATAACTATCATGTATACTCCTACATTAAAACACTGCATTCATTGTAAGAAATCGCACTGAAACATAACAAAATCTTGAATTACAAATTCTACAAATTTTGAGCTACCACAGAATTCTGAAACAAACAAATAACACCACACAGTAAAACTAATGGAGTTTGGGTTTTCTCTATTTGACTATAGCTTATAAATTAGATACAAGAACATCTCAGAAATTCTATGACGTTACAGTCATATTCAAAATTATAGTGAAATATAATGAAAATAATATAGATTTTTAAAAGAGCAATGTGAACAATCTTTCACTGATTTTGATTCCATGCAAAGGTCTATAGCCTTCTACTGAATAAAATTAATAAGCATGTTATTTCATCTTTGTGATTTGTGAATACACTGTATTTACTGTTATATGCACGCAAAACAAATAACTATCTGTTTTGTTGTGTAGAACCTCTAGTTTTTTAAAATCGTATCATCTAGATAGTAGTTCTGAAACTGGAGGTAATTTGTGCATATTTGGGGGCTCAATGGAATGATTTGTAATTGTTGTGGTCAGAACAGTAATGAGGACTCATTTTAGGCTGCCATTGCAGAGATGCTTGTGTAATATAAGAGCCTGTTTCTGTGTGTGTGGAGATAATGATATTATTTGAGACTGGCAAAAAGGGATAATTGAGTCAAACAGTTTAATAACCACTGATCTAGAAGTATAGTACAAAAAGATACACCCTGTGCAGAACAAGATTCATAGGAAATCTCATTTCCTATTTTTGAGAGATACTTCTGTGATTTTGTTTCTTCGCAATAAGATACGTAAAAAAATAAAACATGGATTACGGAGTTGTCTTGTCTTGAAATTAATAACTACATCTTTCAGAAAAAGAGACAAATGTGAACAAGTTTTTTTTATGTCATCAGGTTTTCTATAAAAAAACCAGGAAGAATGTGTTGAGCTCATTGCTCATGCCCTTAACTTATTAGCTTTGACTCTTGGCAAGCACCGTTTAAGTGTTCTATAATTGCTGAAATAAATAAAAAATATATAAAAATAAAAAACTATAATTTAATTAAATAAGAATTATTTATTATAAAACCTTGTTTATTAAAAAGTAAATATATTTATTCATTACATTTCTATATTGCTATTTTGTCATTAAACCCAGCTTTTCAAAGTGCTTGCCAAAACCTCTGATACATGAAATAGATTTTTTCTTCTTTTTTACATTCAAACAGTATATCAACACTAAAAATGAGAAGCGATGTAACAAAAAATTAACAAACAAACACAAGTATTTGTTTTAAGAAAAGCGTAGCTTGGAAAACTCAGTGTCCAAAAAGACATTCTGTTCTATTCAATTATTGAAATAGAGACCAAAAATAAATTTTAAAACCAGTGGTCCCCAACCTTTCTGGCTTGGTGGCCTGACGGGGGGTAGGGGTGGGGGAGAGGGGATAGTTCCCTATAAGTGGCAGGTGGACATGCATGAGCGCGCACAGCTCCATTTGTGTAAATGGGTGGCATGCATGCTTGCCCCTCACGCAAAGGGAGTTTCACGCATGAGGGCAAGCGGCCCGTGCTTATGGAGGGGAACTTCATGTATATGCCCGCATTCACGCGCCATTTGCGCAGCCATGTTCCAAACAGGCCACAGCCCAGTAGTGGTTGGGGACCTCTGAATTAAACTATGACTAAAAAGATTCTCTGAGAAATTTCAGTTGGGTTAATTATTCAGTTAATACTATTTCCCACTAACAAGATGTGTTTTCCAAACTTTGTCTTATGTAAATCTGGTATCTAATAAGAATTAGATATTCAATTAAGTTAGAATTCCATAATAATTTATTATTTCTCTTAGTCTACTTAGTTACTGCATCCCACTATATGCAAAAACAATCTAATTTCTTTGTTTTTAAGCATCTCAGTAATTTTGTGCTCTGCTTATTTTTAACACTGTCCCTACGAAAAGGATAAATATATTTATATCCTAATTCTTCCTCCAATAAGCTCAAAGTGCTTATAATGTTGTTTACAAACAGATTTAATAATGCTTCAACTGAAAGATAGGTCAGATTTTAGAAAATGTTCAAGATATAAATAAACTGGCCCAATTTTTGACTTGTCCTTTTTATATTCAATACTGAATATATTGTGCCATAAAACCAAAAATGTTAAGATAAATGCTGTCAACATACATTATTTTCACATTAAAACAACAAAAAAAGTAAACCATAAAGCTTTAGGTAAAATTATATCAATACATATCATCAATACATATAATCCACATTTATAAAATATAATCAAAATATAACCAAACATTCAACAGTGAACCCTATTTCCTAATCTATTTGAATAACACAATGAAATGTGATGAAACAGAAGCAGTCATGTTCGGATCAGTTGCCAATATGTTTCCTTCATCTCAGAGGTGGTATTCAGCAGGTTCTGACCAGTTCTGGACAACCGCTAGCGGAAATTTTGAGTAGTTCGGAGAACTGGCAAATACCACCTCTGACTGGAGATTTTACAGTATCCTTCCCCTGCTATGCCCACCAAGCCATGGCCACAGAACTGGTAGTAAAAAAAATTGAATCCCACCACTGCTTCCTCTGGTTCTGGTACAAACTAAAATTTTGTTGACAAACAGTTAAAAGGGCCACAAATATTGGATCCCCACTCCCATTTTCTAACTATATTTTCAGCCTGATTCTAATTTTTACTAAACAATTTGCTGAACAGCAATATCCATGACCATTGAATTAAAGAAATTAAATATTAACAATCTTTTTGAATATTGTCAGTCAAGGGAAAACAAGTTTTTGACATTTTGCACATATGCTAATTTATTGTTACCCAAACCTCCATGGACCAGATGCCACTTCGCCAGATCGAGAAATAACAAAAGTAGTAGTGTTCAGTTAAACTATCTCAATTGTGAATGAAGTGTTGTTATCAGCATACTGAGGACTTTTGCAAACAACAACAACACATATTCAAACCAAACCAAGCCATGGTATCTATGTTGAATCAACAGATATTTACGTATATAAAAACAGGCATGTGTAATATCAGTGAAGCAAATATAAAGCTGATATGGAAAAAGCAACAAAGGTAATAATGATCACCAGTACAAATGACACAATGTTGAGAAGTCTTTCTTTTATACCTTTCTTGTTCTGGTGAATGCAAACTAGTATCAGGCTTCAAGCAGTTAGTACTAGCACTCCTAGCCCTGTCAAGCGAGGGCTGCAGTTCACTAATGCATCCAATGGAAGAGAAAAGAGAAGAAAAACAAAAAGAAAAAAAACAAAGAAAGGAATAACATGTTAGATATTAAATCAAAGTAATGTTCTTTCTACACAAGATGTTAAGTCACAATAAAGTCATGGAGACACAATGGAACAGATTGGATGAAACATGGCAAGAAGATTGTTCAAAAAATATATTTAAAAAATAACAACTAAATTGGGTTGCATAAAATGGTATCATATACTGCAATCTTATCCTATGAAGTCAATCTGTTGGCTTTCATAAGCAAAATTACAGCTCAGCAGTGGATAATGAATACCAATATAAAATTGGAAAGAAAATATGAAAATAAATATATCTGTATCATTATTTATTTGAAGGAAAACAGAACACAAAATGATGAGATTCCATTGGTTTGAAAGAAAAGGATATTCTACCATGAAAACAATTATTTAAAATAAATTAATACAGGGAAAGATGCTTTGTCTGAAACCTTACCTAACCAACAGTCCTTCTGTAAATCTTGACACATGTGAATTAAGGCAATTAGGATGAAGTGAATTATCCTGACTAAGCACTGATTTGGCCTTAATATATGCAGGCAGGGTTGAGCTTCACAATTCAAAATAATTCATGAAAAAGAAAAAAAAGTAAGTTTCACAATGAATGCAAATCACACAGGAAGAAAAAAGAAAGAAAATATATGCAAACTTAAAATATCCAAAACATCAGTGTGGTATAAGTATCAGAGATTCAGAGAAAATGGGTGTGATGATAAATAGTCCTAGGAATACTCTAAGAAAGTAGTCCATTCGATTCATTAGGAGATAGAGATGTATAAGTATGGATAAGTTTATAGATTCCAGCTACAAACCTGTTCAGCTGTGCAATGAATACTTATATTGGCAAATAACTTAAATGGGGTTAAAGTTGGATCAAACTGCTTTGCTACGCAGTGAGCTATATTGTTATCTAACAAGCTAAGACAAACATAAAGTTATGTTCAATTCATGGTGATACAATAGACACATTCAAGTAGTTTTATTGATATTGTGGATGTGGTTTGTCGTGATTTCTTTTTGTTCTTTTACATTTCTGTGTCTAGTACAAGTTGTCCCTGACTTAAATTGGGTCACTAAGTGATGCCAGGCATAAAATGATTGTGATCGAGTTTACGACCTTTTTCGCAGCAGTCATTAAGCAAGCCAGCTTCTCCCATTGACTTTGCTTGTTGGAAGCTATCTGGGAAGGTTGAAAATGGCAATCGCATGACCCAGGACTTTGTAACTGTTATAAATATACACTGATTGCCAAGAACCTGAATTGCAATCATATGACTGCAGGGATGCTGTGACAGTCATTGTGAGGACTGGTCAAAATCACATTTTTTTAAAGCTATGTCGTAATTTCAAATGTTCACTGAACCAATGGTCATAAGTTGAAAACTGCCTATATAGAAGCCTGCTATTTCATGATAATCTTCCAGCCAAAAATTTAGGAGGATTAATCCTCCTTAGTTTCTATAGATCAGCCAAACAAGCTGGGTACTGCAACCTATAAGGCCTTTAAAAGAAGGTGTGGGTGTGTGGTTATGTGTTGAGATAGAGAGGCTGATTGACAAGTTCATTCAAAAAGTATCTCCTTTTTTCTCTGGAATTCTATGTGAGAACTTTTATGTGACAGCAACAGATTTCTTACCTGTAAAGATTCCAGTAAGTGCCATTCTCAAATAAAGGCATCTTGGGAGGTAGTGATTTGTAATGCCTAACAGAATTTCTTGAATGTGACAGAAAAGAAAGGGGAAACAGCCATGCAAGAAACAAAAATATATAGGCAGATATGAAAACAGCACTAGACGAAATAGTAAATTATGATGCAGCAAAACATTCATGTAAGTCATTTGCATTGTTTGTTGGCAAGTATCATTAATAATTACATCTACCTGGCCCACTGGAGCAGGAATGTTGTGGTCCTAATTATCAAGGACGTACACCTGATGGGATCTTTAAAAAGGGCCTTCTCTGTGGTGGCTTCCTCCCTTGGCAACATCCTCCTCCTCCCAGAGATACGATTGGCCCCTATCTTGTTGCTTTTCTGCAAGGCCTTGAAGACATGGTTTTGTCAGCAAGCTTGGAGAATCTATTCAGGGCCAATCAGATGATTTGTCCGATGCTATTGTCGCCTACATGGGGTGGCGGGCCAGTTAATTGTATATTTTTAAACAGATTTTTAATGCTATACACTGGCCTGGAATCCCTGTGTGTGAATTGGACAGCTACATACATTTGTTTAAAAAGAAATAAATAAATTTTAACAGTACTTGCCAATTTAATTAATAAAGTTTAAAGTCCAACTATCTACTTAAGTTGTACTGCATCAAAGAAAAACAATAGCAACTCACAGTTACTGAATTGTTCAGGAGAGCTTTATTCTTCAATTGCCCATATTTTAGCATAATTCTCAAGTTTATCTTTCATGTATGTATGTATGTATGTATGTATGTATGTATGTATGTATGTATG